GCGCATGTGGCAGTAGGATCGTCAAAGACACGTCCCACGTTTGAAAAATGGTGACTGCGGCTCAAATTCCGATGAAAAGATGGTGACCAAACTTTTCAAAAAATAATTCAAAAACGAGCCCCCAAATGCCTCATGTGGAACCTGATATTTGACCGCGTTTATACGTGCATACGGTGACGCACCTACTCCTCAGTATCAGCTCTTCTCCGTTATCACCTCGTTCTCACCATTCAAAATGGAGAGAGAGTTAGTAACGGAGCAACCGCATCACCAGGAAGCGTTTAGAAATGAATGTTGGGCGTCTCCATGGTCAGTGGGCGGAGCCGTGGTTTCGTCGTGGACTGGCGGCCCTTTGCTGACGTTTTTTCGACATGTGGAAGTAGTACATCCTCCGTGCTTGCAGACAGGACTACAATGTCCAAATAAGGTGCCTGAACATCAAATGAACGCGAGAGTGCCTTTAAGCGCAGCGTGCGGTTTTTTGTTGAAATAGATGGTGTTCTATTCGAACCTCAGTCCTATCTCTTATTCCAGTAGGATCTGAACTGGGATGACTGGTAGGTTTTTGCCAAAGGTTTTGCACGCTCAAAGCGCTAGATCGACACACATGCTTTCCTTTCCGCTCAAGACGCCACTTTTGCTCTCAGATCGCTCAGAACGCGGACGTTCTTCCCAGAAACGCTTGGTCGTTGCTCACGATTCCCTTTTTTCCCAAAAACGCTCGAAACACCGAGAAGAAATATGAAGGCAGCCTTCCGTTGGCTTTGCCCAAGTTGTTCATACAGTTCAATTGGGAGGGGGACGTTTTCTGAGCCATTTGAGAGGTATTATCAAATATCGATAAGATATTGTTAGTTGGATGAGTAAAATCATCCAATTTCCACCTGATGCGTCATTTAGATGCATACTCGAAGTATGCATTGAGCTCTACGCGTCAGCCAAGGCTCAGTTCGATTTTGCTATCCTTTCGGGCAAGACTGAAGCCTTCTTGCGAGCCTTGAAGGATAGGTTGTTTGCCGCATTGGCGCAAACTCCGTTGCGTAGCCCTAGGCCCTGGTCAGAAGAGCTTTCAGGCGCTAATACAGCCTACGAAGTAAATTTTATATATTAGGTTGTCCCAAAAGTTCTGGGACACTTTTTGAATCTCGTATCAGATTTTTCCGCAGCCATTTCGAGATCCAGTTATGTGGTCTATGGGAAGTGTGTGAGGTAAGCATTCCACAGCTTCTTCACCGTCCCTCGCAGTCGCTGTTCTCATATGAAAAACGGTAATTGAAATTCATCATTTTCGACACACTTCGCTATATGAATCTCTACCAAGCCACAACGTGGTTCGGAGCCATAAGCGGCATTTCCCTTATTTAGATCTTGATGTTAGCTTCCACAGTACGGCTTTGGAATGGCTCAATTGCTTCTGCTTTAGTGACTTCTATCCGGGTGAAAAACTTCGTCCAAGGAGGCCACCTGCCTTGGATTTGGACCTACTGTGTTCCTTGATTAAAACCAATACGTACAAATCAACTTGCTATCTATTCCTTACACTTGACTGGTCCCAAAGCACAAATGAGAGAAGGCCTCGCTCCCTTAGAAAAGTTATGAAGTTCGATCAAAATTTTTCTCATGAGTTGACCAGTACTCCAAGGGGAGCACATGTGGGTACTGTCTACAACTTCTCTCCCTCTTCCGCTGTACAGGCTGGTTGAACAGCACTGTAACTGGATATGGAGTGGGTGCCTCTAGTTGAATCACTCCTGGGAGCGCCACCGGCTAGATCCCCCAGAAAGGGCAGAACCGATCGCGCAATCCTATCAATCCAGTAGGGCGGTGAGGCTGTGTATGTGGTGGGGTACCCTTCTCCGCTCTCGAAACGGAATTCCCTCCTTCCAACGCTATGGTAACCAGGGAGCCCTATTGTAATCAACTGCAAAGTGGGGTGGAAAATCTCTACCATTTGGTCCCAAAACCGAGCAATGTTTGCCTACTCCACCACACCTCAGGGTCAAACATTTGGAAAACGACACTGCTCGAGATCCCGAAGCTTAGCTGGGGAATTCCACCACAGTCTTCGTGTAGCCCTGACTTAGCTCTTTCCGACAACCATCCAAACTAATCCCACAGCGGCCATCTTCTTGGTAAAAAAATACGATTTTTGATAGTACCTCGAAAATGACCCAGCTGCCTTTCTGGCCACAGAACTAAGAGGCTTCTGGAAGCAGGGCAACCACACACTTGCGTAGTGATTGGCAACAAGTTGCCAATGAAGGTGACATACATATAGCTGATCAAAATTGCTTCCCACTGGAATAAACTTAATTCGGAAAAAAGTCTGAAAGTGTCCCAGAACTTTTGGGACAACCTAATATATTTTCAGTTCGTCTCGATGTGGGGCGTTCAGAGGGGAGCGTTTAGATGGCCGCCAACCCGTTCTATACCACGTTGTTGAAGCAGTAAGTGTCTATGATGTGGAAAACGACTGATACGAATTATGATTCAGCCTTGTCGCTTGCCGAAGGAAAAAAGAACGGGCTGGCGTCGCTCTAGACCCATTCCCCCTTGGTCAGCCCGGCATCCCGCAACCAAAACTAGCCTGGGCCAGACGCTCCGTACTCTATTGAGTAACAACTCTAATATTCGTGTATCGTGCTCTTTCTCTTGGGGAGAAAATCATGGGCTCAACTGTGACAGTCAATTCTTTCAGTATGCTCGAATTCCGAAGCGATTCTTGATTATGCGAGAGTCGAGTAGTCGCATGACAGAAGCTGTGCGACTCTTGCTAGCTCACATGTCTTCTGCTATACCGATGTACCGTGTCTGGTATCCACTGTGATATATCTTTTAGTGCGTTCAGGAGTGAAAGGTGAGTAGTTGTTTTTCATATGGTTCTGTCAGATGCTTTTCGATGAAAAACTAGGCGCTCGTGTAGTTGGGAGGGGCATTCGACGGCGTTCTGTGCCTTGTCACCCTTACGGTGATCCCTTCCGTCTTGTCATCTTCGAGAGCACAGTAGGTCGAGCCTGTCCGGTCTCGCCAAGTGCCCCGGTCCGTCTGCATTCTGTATCCCTGACATGGGCAAGGCGTGTCCACGTGCTCAGTTGTGGACGTGGCTACCGCTGCATATTTATGGGAAGTAGCCGGATCGAGTGGAGAAGGGTGAGAGGTATATAGAGTTTCATTTGTTCCCTACCGCTGTTCCTGTGCACACACTGCTGCGTCTCTGACTTAATCGGCAGCTTCTATCGCCGCTTCTCTCTTGGCCCGCCCACTTTATCGCCGTGGGTATGGGCTACAAATTCGCATCCACAGGGTATATCTTAAGAAGGTGCAGATACCATCAGCGCCAAAAACTATTACTAACCACTTGCAGATATCAAGATTATCGTTCGCGAGGATGGCCACGCTGAAGTGAATCGTCTGTTGGCAACTCCTCTCTTCTCCTTTCCATCAGCAAACATAGAAGTGATCTCTTTGTCACGAGAACATGAAGAGTGGGGAACGGCCGACGTGCTTCGACATTACGCCACAAAGATAACGGTAAGCAACGTGACTATTCATCTTTGCAAATGCTTAGAAATGGCTTCAGCTGCCACTTTAACATAACATTGAACCGTGTATGTGACAAGACAATCGTAACATGCCCCGCTGGGCAGACAAGCGGCGCCGTGCACGCGATGGACGAATTGTTCTGCCAGGTCGTTTCACTTCGAATGCAAAGCGGACGGGAAAGGTCAGGCGGCGTTCACATGAGTTTCGTAGCTCCAAAGGACAAGCAGATGTATACCGAGGATCCGCCGCGCACCACTTCACGATGTGCCGCGCGCGACGTCGCGGGCTATTAGGCTGCGTTTATACTTTGCGGCAGCGCATTGACATGATCTCCAGTCACTCAACTCGCGTTCTGAAAGCCATTACAGGGTTGCTGAATTATGGGCACACCTGACCACGGCAAGGACTCGAACCTTACCATTAGTGTTACGCTTATCAGGTTGGTGTGTTGAGCACTAGGCCATCA